CAGGGATCGTAGGTGTACTGTGTAACCCTATATCAGCTTGTGCACACACACATACGGTTTAATGTCTACTCCATATGGTAGAGCTGTAGGATTTTTTTGCTACTTTGCTGCACTGTGATACAACGGTGTTGCGTTTGTCAGTGTAAGAAATGAGGAGAGAAGTTGTTGCTCCTGCCAGGTGTCATCAAGAAGTGGTTTGTGCTGGTGGGACAGCCGAGGAGAGCGAGCAAGTCCCAGTGAATCTAAATTGAGTAAAAACAAAAATTTTGTAATTACTGCAGGTGAGTGTGGAAGAGTGTTGCATGTCATTTTTTTCATTTGTAAAATAAAAGATTTTATTCCATTTACGTGGATGCTGTCTAACATCTGTGTGTGACATAAGCATCGCTTACTCTAGACACACTTGCTTTTACAATTTAGGGCCTCAATGCTTGTAGATATGAGATTATTTTATGAAATCAAATCTGCCTTTTCATTTGACTTTAGACTAAATAAGAAAATAAAAAAAGGTGCTTGTATATTTTTTATTACTTATGACATCAGCACAGCCAAATAAATCCTCATGTATATAGACCGAGCAATATTTAATTTGGTATATTTATTTCTAAAACCTTAATGACATAATGCTGATTAAAAGATGTACCTATCAATATTAAAATCACAGCTACACCTTGATAAATAATGAAGAATGACACTGAAATGGGCATTTCTAAGGTTACTATGTAATGTACCTCTTAAATAAAATTCCCCCATCATCACGCCAGCCACCAAAAAAATTTATTTAAAAAATCTGATTTTTCAGACATTCCTTCTTGTCGGTAGATGGGAGGTGCGATAGGTTGATTATTCCTTTGGTAGTTTGGCCTAGTGTTGTTTCAGCTGATGTGTGATTGTCTCAAATGACACCATTACCATGTCTGAATGGTTAATGATCGGCCGGAGGGGAAGAGGGTAACAACGCAAGGTGAGAACACACATGAACCAGGCTCCGTTCTGCCCCGAAACACTTCTGACACCTCAGAGAGGCCCTGTGTATTTGGGCCACTGCACTGCAATTGCTCACCCAGTAATGGCATAAATAGCCTGCTCCTTTCCTATAAGTAGCTAATGACTTTGGATCAGGGATTCTGTTCCCTTGGCTATAGGCTTCCCTGAAGCCAGACTGATTTCAGATTAACCATAGTTCTCAGATTGTAAATGGGCCCCGAATTAAGTTACTTCATACATACCCATGCAGGTGTTCATGGCGCTTTTCATGTAAGTGTGTTTCCCCCGTTTTTAATGTTTTTATGCTGCAAAGTTAACCTTTTCTTGAAGTACAAAGATTATATGGCAATTTTAGTATGTTGTTTGAAAGTTGACGTATGGAAGTGGACGTTTGGAAGTTTTGCATCTGAAGTCTCAGCCTGCTAGTAACAGTATTTGTCCAGTGGTCAGTGGGCAAGAATCTCTCTTTTTTTTTTTTTAATAAAGACTAAGGAGAAGTGGGCTTCCTTCTCAGTCCAAACGTTTAAAAATGAGCCCTTTGTTTTATTCTTTCCTATTTTTAATATACTTTATGGGTTTACAGCATTGCACTGCTTTCTTCTGTTGCTGTTTTGGGTAGGACCACTACTGTGATTGTTATTCCACGACTGTATCACTCTTAAAAGCTGCTATTGGCTGGCTGTGAACTGTGGAGTGTTTTCATTGGCTGTGGAGCAGTTCCGCTCTAGCACTCTCTAGAGCTCTGTTAGTGTGAAATGTGCCTTGGATTTATCGCTTTGATAACATTAATAAAACTGCATAGGGCGTCTCCTTTCTGACTGTACGCACACCACAAACTTTCTTTGCCTTCATTCTATTGTCCTCTTTTGTGTCTCCCATTTCTGTTTGTCTTTGTGCCCAACAGATTTTGTCTCGAAACTCTCTTTTACTTACAGAGCCTCCTTAAAGGACAGGTTTTCTCAGGAATCCAGCCCACAGGTGTTCCTCACTTAGGGAACTATCTGGGAGCTCTAGAGAGCTGGGTGGCCCTGCAGAACGAGTACAGTGCAGTCATGTACAGCATCGTAGACCTTCATTCCATCACCCAGCCTCAGGACCCTCATATGCTCCGAGACAACATCTTGGACATGGCCGCCAGTCTGTTGGCCTGTGGCATAGACCCAACTCGCTCCATCCTTTTCCAGCAGTCTCAAGTGAGTCCTGCTTTGAAGACATCAAATAAACAACATGAATTAAATCACATTAATTAAGGATCGTTTACCCTACCGTGAGTATTTGGTCATCATTTAATCACCGCCATGTCTCTCCAAACCTGTATGACCTTCTTTGTTCTGCTGAACTAAAAAAAAAAGAAAAGATATTTTAATGAACTAATTTATCCACACAATGAAAGTCAATGGGGTCCAAAGCAATACTTTAATAGTGAGGGGGAAAAATGCTTTTGTCTTCCACATAAGAAAGAGAGTAATGCAGGTTTGGGATGGCATGAGGGTGAGTAAATGATGACAGAATTTTCATTTGGGGTTGAAATGTCCGTTTAAACCATAGCTGCTACTAGTATTATATTTGTATTATATTATATAAAGTGTGCACATCTTTGTTTAGCCTTGCTGCTTAAACAATGTAAAAAAAATAAAAAAAAAATGTCGAAGGCACCTTTCAAATAACTCAAATAACAGAAGTCTCATTCTAAATAGGCGTCCAGTCGTTTTATTGGGTAGAACTGCTGGCAGTAAGCTAAAACATATTTTCCATTGCCAAATGTTTATTTAATGGAGGCTAGCTTTAAATGCTTATTTTACCAAACCGATTTCTATCTCTACAAATTCTCAGGATAGGGGAAAACACTCAGATTAGCTTTCACAGTTCACTTCAAAGCGACCACATAAAGCAGAAAGAGGAGGATAGTAATAGATTTTACTGTACGCAGCAACTCGCTAGCTGTCCAGCACATTTTCTCAAATTGAGCAACTTATGAAGGGTAACTATAATAAGTGTGGACATGTTCTTCCTCTCAGCCACCTGATATGCTTTTAACTGTGTGTGTTTGTGTGTGTTGTGCAGCAGAATGTAAGTGTGTCGGGTTTTTGTATTTTCTCACTGGAACTTTGCAGCGAGCATGTGAAAAC